TCCTCTTAAAAACTGATACCCGGTGTGAAAAACAGGCTAGATTCCACCTCTCCCTAAGAGAAACCAATGAGAGCTGATGGAATGTTGGGGAGAGAATGGTGGCAGCATGTGAATGGAACAGTGTTTGAGCCCCCAGCCCCAATAACTCTGTGTAAGTGAGGGCCTGTTATTAAAGGGGGCTGGGCTACCCTGTTTGCTAATGTCTCAGTAAGTGAGAGAGAGGACCTGAGGTATGAAATGGTCATGTCTTTCTATATATTTTAAAAGAGACAAGAAGGGTGGTGAATATGGTGTACTGACTTACTTGTAACCCTAAACCAGAGAGAGGGAGGGAGGGAGGTGGGGAGAGAGAGAGAGAGAGAGAGAGAGAGAGAGAGAGATGGTAGTAGAAAGAGTAGAGAAGGAGCTTCACACCCTAAGTATATAAGAGAAGTCATGTTGGATCAAGTCAATAACCCATCTAGTCCAGTACTCTGCATCACACAGTGGCCAAAACCCAGGTGCAATCAGCAGGTCCACCAACAGGGCCAGAACTCCAGAAGTCCCCCAAGCACCAAGAATACAGAGCATCACTATCCCAGGCGTAGTGTTCCATCTATACCTGATGGATCTCTGTGCCATATCCCCTCTGGAAGCTCTCTATGCTTGTAGCTGCCACCACTTCCTGCAGTAGTGAATTCTGTGTGTTAATTACTCTTTGTGTGAAGAAGTACTTTTATCTGTTCTAAGCTTTCTGTGCATTAATTTCATTGAGCGCCCATGAGTTCTTGTAGTGAGAAAGGGAGAGAAGTACTTCTCTTTCTGCCTTCTCTATCCCATGCATAATTTTGTAATACTCTATCATGTCACACCTCAATTGTAATTTCTTCAAGCTAAAGAACCCTAACCTCCTTACGCTTTCTTCATAGAGGTGTTCCAGTCCCTTAATCCCCTGTTACCAGTTTAATTTTTTTATCAGTCTCACTCTCTCTCAGTAAACCTTTTTCTGGTAAACTATAGAATAGTCTAGTGCAGTGGTGGCGAACCTATGGCACGGGCATGCGTGCCATCGCCCCAGCCAGGCCCAGACCATCATTAAAGTGTCGAATTCTCTACCAAATAATTTTAAGTAAATGAAAGCATTTGGGATTGCTTTCCTTACTTTGTTTGGATCATCTTAAATTAATGTATGAGTTGTTTTTTCCAAAAGTAAAATCTCCGTATTCAGGTTAAATTGCCGTGTTGGCACTTTGCGATAAATAAGTGGGTTTTGGGTTGCAGTTTGGGCACTCCGTCTCTAAAAGGTTCACCATCACTGGTCTAGTGCAATCCATCTTCTGGGTAAAGACCTTCTATATCATGCTTTTCATTGGTAAGTAATCTTGAAACCAGTATGTCAAACATACCCTGTTAACCACTATGCATTGCATACTAACCAGATTCCAGTCTATCCCTTCCAGGATTTTGGAGCAATTGCTTTGTATAGTCTTAAATGCTGGCTGGCAGTGACAGCCCTATATATTGATACCAAAAGCATTCCTCCTGGAAAGTCAGCCTGTCTTAGTTCATTCTAAGGTAATTTTTCGCTATAACATGGAGTATCTGGTGCAATTCACATCTCATCCCATCATCCTGTCACTGATTTTCTTTGACCTCTGCTTCCTCATTTTTTCTGAGTGACAGTCAGGATTTGTCTGGGCCATAGCTTCAATATTGCTATCTGTACCACTTTGGCTCCTGAACCCTCATAGCTGTGTTGCTTTCTGAAAATTGGCCATGCCTCTGCACCACCATTATGGGATTCAAAAACATCTATGAAGCTTGTGCCTCCTACAAATAGCTGAGAACACCCACACCTACCTGTGGTTATAAGATGAGGCAAAATACAGAAAAAAGGTATGTGTGTTTATGTCTTTCTGAGACTTTAGCGTAGCTAGGATTGTTCGGCATACAAAAATTTCTGAAACAAAGGACTTAACAAATGATTGGATGCAAAATTTGCCCAAAAGGCCAGAAGGATCTGGTGATGTAGGATGGCAATATGAAAAATTTTCCCAGGTGGGGGAACACTTTGAAACAGTTGCATCCCATGGAATACCCTGGGAAGTTAACATCTGTTTAATCAAAGAGTAGCTTCATATGAAGAAAAAATAATGAAAAGGTAACCAAGACAGAAGTTTTCTTTTTTCCTGATAGTCTGTGCTAATAGGGTCAGGGAAACAATGTCATTTGTGATGTGAGTCTGGTAATGCCTTAGAGACCAACAAGAGTTTCAGGGTATAAACTTTGAGAGCCAAAACTCTTCTGTGTCTCACAGAGTCTGGTCTGGATGTTAGCTGGATGGTTTCTGACAGTCAGGGTCTGCTTGAGACCTTGAAGAGCTGCTGCCTATCTGAGAAACAATACTGACCCTGATGAACCAAGGGTTTGATTCAGTATAAGGCAGCTTCATGTCTATTCATGTGTGTGACGTGTGTCTGGGTTTTATTCTACCACTCTTCTCAAGTATGAGTGTGGGGTGCTACAAGCAGAGGAGCATCTGTTGTTGGGATGGTCCATGCCTTGTACTTATAGAATGCACCACCCTTAGCTGAGCAGAACCCTGGCAGCTGTAATGGCACCAAAGGATGTTTCTATGTCATTCTTAGTTTAGTGGTTATGAGAGGCGGACTCAAATCTGGAGAAGCATGTTTGATTCCCCACTCCTCCACATGAAGCCAGCTGGGTGACCTTGGGTCAGTCACAAGTTCGCTCAGAGCTGTTCTCTCAAGAGCAGTTGTCTCAGAGCACTCTCAGCCCCACCTACCTGTCAGCTATGCTGCCATGGGGGTTGGGATGGTCAGGCAGCATCAGTGTAATTGCTCTTGCATTCCTTTCTGTTCTTTGCGCTGAAACGCTTATCTGTAAAGTCGGGCAGGTGGGAGTTGTGGTGTCTGTCTTTTCCAGGGAGCCGTGGGAGAATGCGAGTTCCCAGCTTCGGCTAGCAACAGTTAGCAAGCTTTATCCCGCGCACGGGAGGGTGCCTAATTGGCCAGCACAGTGGGGGGGTGCATACGAATACCCTATATCTTATTATGTCCAAGGGGCAACTGCCATTCTTAACAGTGACTATGTTAATGCATCTATAGCTCTTCAATAAAAGTATTACCTTTCCTGAAAGCGTGTACTACGTTGTTGGCTGTGGGTTCTGACACTACCTCATAAGCAATGCTCCCTCTAAGCTGTGGAGTCTTGTGAGCAAAAATTCTACTCTGTGAGCTACTGGCATTAAAGTTGCGAGTGAGCAATTTGGCTACTGCATAAATTGGTTTGCTCTGGAGCCATCCTTCCTGAGCTAAGACAAACATGTGTGAGCCGGAGGCTAAAAAACTGTGAGCTAGCTCACATGAACTCAGCTTAGAGGAAACACTGCTCACAAGGTGGCTGTTGTGGGGAGAAGAAGGGAAGATGATTGTAAGCCACTGAGACTCCTTTGGGTAGTGAAAAGCAGGGTATAAAAACCTACTCTTCTTCTTTTTGTAAATGGGCAGGGTTCTCTGATGGGGATGCACTCATTTGTTGTGGGCTGTGCAACTGTTTCCATGGACACCACTTGGTTTTGACCAAGCAAATATATGGTGTGTTGTTTAGACATTGTGCATTGGTAGCTGTGGACTGCTTTTTACATTCTAAGAGTGGTTTTGAATGGATCCCCCTCCCCCAACGTGTAGGAATGCATGAATGTTGTGTAAGAGGGATGCTGAAAATTGTATGCAACTCTTCCCATATGAATGTTGTAAGGTGCCATTTTGCTGCACTGGACCACTGATCTATCTGTAGCATAACACTGTAGCATAACAACTAACTGCAATTTTCAAGCATCATCACCAAAGGTCTCTCCCAGCCCTGTCACTTAAGACTAGTTAAAATGCAGATATCTGGACTTTCTGCATACAGAATATATACCCTTTTATGTAAGGTTTCTCTTAACTGTATCCAGTACTTTTGTGTCATCACTTATTCTTTTGATGATGTACAGAAGTATCTGCACCTTGCATATAATACAATGAAATATATACATGTCTCACATGATGAACTATGCACATATTTACTATACTGAAGTGTTTCTAGTACAGGAAATTTTATCTTGTATGACATTAACTAGTGTATTGGTGGATTTGCGTTTCTGTCTTCTTGGTGGGTTTTTCCCCCCTCCTTCACTGAAAGGTTCTTAACAGTAATATATTCTAAAAGTGACGCATGTATATATTTGACAATTACTTTACCAATGTTAAAATTGCAAGAATGATTGTAATGTACTTGGTGAAAGCTCCACCTAGTGGAAAGCTGCCAAAATACTTTCTGTTGGTTTTACCTGGGATTAGAAGAAATGTTAGTCATTATTATAATATGCAATATTTAGAGCTGATTAGATAATATTTAACAGTTGTGGTTGTAGCCTCTTCCCTGTGCAGGCAATCCATAGGATAAGGGAGTGACTTTTCAATATGCATCTCACTTCGACTTGCCTCCTGTCTGTTGATCCCCTTCTCTGATTGCCCTACATGAAGATCCAGTCCCACCAAAAATATATTTTAAAATAGAAAGTAAATTCCAATGTAGTCTGTATTGAGTTATGATGGATAATGTGGGATTAAGACACTTCTAATATGATTCATAAATTGTTTGCACTGTTTTTGAGTCATTGATTTTAATAGAATTAATCCAGATTTAAGTGACAGAGTGGTAATTTCTCGAATTAGTTGTTGTAGATTTTCCGGGCTGTTTGGCCGTGGTCTTGGCATTGTAGTACCTGATGTTTTGCCAGCAGCTGTGACTGGCATCCTCAGAGGTATAACATAGAAGGATTCTGTGTTATACCTCTGAGGATGCCAGTCACAGCTGCTGGCAAAATCTCAGGTCCTACAATGCCAAGACCACGGCCATACAGCCCGGAAAATCTACAACAACTAATGAACTCCAGCTGTGAAAGCCTTCGACAACATAGTTTCTCGAATGTTTTGTTTTTTTACTACTTGCAGGCACATATTTTTTCTTTGGGAGCGACACTAAAAACAGTGATTGAATATACAATGGAGGTTGAAGTACATTCAGAATTTAGCCAAGATCTACAAATTCTTCTTGAACAAATGCAAGAGGAAAATCCTCAAGAGAGACCAGATATTGAGGTAAAAAAAATAGTTACATATCGTGTTGACTGATTCTGATGTACCAGCATAGGATAGAAATTTTTTTTAACTCGAGTCATCTTTTCTCTACTCTTTTAGTGTTAACTGCCCGATGTCAGGTATGATAACAGCAAATTTAACAATGGTACTTTTCTAAGGTTTGCCCTTGCACTGAAATTGTCAGCTACCATAGCTGATACAGTGAACTCTGCATGGGTAATCTAGATTTGCATGCTATAGAGATGGATCTTCATAGTGCTAGACAGTAGAACAATTAATGTGCTACCATTAGGGTTGCCCCATCTCCTGTTACAACAGGAGACTTTCTGCTGCCAACCTGTGCTCCCCACCACTGATCCTTTGGGCAACAGGAGAAATATTTGTTTTTTAAAAAATTGCCGCTGGCATGACAACATGATGTCACTTCAGGAAAAACCTGGAAGCAATGTCATGTCACTCTAGGGATTGCCAGAAGCTCTATAGCTTTACTGTAGAGCTTCAGGCAATTCCTGAGCAATATGACGTCACTTCTGGTTTCCCCAGGAGGTGATGTCATATTGCATATGATGTTGGTGACCTCCCATGTCCCTGCCCCCCATCTCCCAATAGGTGCCAGTCATTCACTGGCAACCCTAGCTACTATGTTAGAACCTGCACTAACATAGGCTAACCACTTTGGAACAGTGTCTTTCCCTTTGTTGCACTCATATTATGCAAAGGAAACAGAGTTTTTAAATTCAGTAGAATTTCCAGTAAGCTGCAGCTTTGCTTCAGGTCTAAACGAACTGGACTTCCAACTGTTTGCTACACATTATGTCCCTATAGGTAACCATTTATTTATTGTAGATATTAATCCTCTGTTTTTCTCCCCAATGACCATTCAGAGCAGTTTTCAACATCATTCTCTTATCCTCCATTTTATCCTCACAACAGTACTGTGAGGTAGGTTAGGCTGAGAAAATGAGTAGCTCAGGGTCACCCAGTGAACTTCTGTGGCAGCATGGAGATTTGAAACAGGTCTCTAAGATCCTATAGTGACACTCTGACCACTATACCATTCTAATAATTAAGCATGTGGAACGAAGATCAAGAGCATGCTATAGTATGATTTAGCTATAAGCAAGGATGAACTGAAAATGTCCTGTTGCGCGAAAAACTACAAGAGAGGCAGGCTGATGTGTGCTGCCCTTGATTCTTGTAGCTGTTGCCCTTCAGGCAAACCCAGCATGTTCAAAATGCTCCTTTCCTTAGTAACCCAAAGGGAATACTTGGCTTAATGCATATTATGAACATTCCCCAGTCTTCCAAAGATCATTAAACAGGTTTGGACTCTGCTCATTCTCAGAACTAATAAGAATAAAAAATGAGAATTCTTGCCTATTGGCAAACCCTTTCTGTTATCAAATATGCTCATAAGGGCCTTTTTCTAAATGGATTTCCTCTGGCAATGTAACTGCATTAAATTCTTGGAATATTACCAATGTTTCCTAACTTGTACCAGAATAAAATGTTTAAATGACTAAATATGATGTAGAGATTATCACTATTAATACTTGGTCTATGGGGCAAAATTAACATGATGAAAAGTAACATTTTGCTCTGAATTGTCTACATTCTTTTGGGCAGGGGGTCTTCCTGTTTCCATTGGTCAATACGAACAAGGCTAATACTATTAAAAAATTCTCCTTAGTTTGAAGGCCAAATGCTAGCCAGATTTGCTTTACCCAGATTCCATTATACTATATAAATTTTAACATGGTGTCACTACTGCTGCCCTGACTGGGATGGCTTAGGCTAGCCGAATCTCATCAGATCTTGGAAGCGGTTCCTGGTTGGTCCTTGGATGGGAGACCACCAAGCAGGCCTGTAGCTACAGTGGGGCACTTTGGGGCCCGGCCCTCGACTTCCTGCCAAGACCCCACAACTTCCTTTCGGCCCAGCTGCCTGACTCTCTGGCAAGATGTGACAGCGGGCGCCGCGAACTCCCCCTGCGCTGCCGCTGCTTCTCCTTTCCTCCCCCCTGCACCGCACCTTTTTCTGGGCCGGCCCCTGATCAAGAGGCAGCCTCAGCCATGCTCCCCACCCATGCCTCCATAACTCAGATTGATTCAGAGGTTGCTGGGGCTCTGGCTTAGCTGCCAGGGAGGCAGGCAGGGGAGGCAGAGGGCAGCTGGAGCAGAGGCAGGCAATGGCAGTGTTAATTAAATTACCTGTAATTGAATTAGTGAGTGCCCAAGTGCTCCCTGAGGAATTAAAATGCCCCCCTAACAAAAATTTCTGGCTATGGGCCTGCCACCAAGGAAGTCCAGGGTTGCCACACAGAGGCAGGCAATGGCAAACTGTGTGGCAATGCCTGCCTCTGTGTGGCTCTTAAGGGGTATGCAACTTAATGGCACTTTCCACTTCCACCATCACTGCCTTAGGTCAACCTATGTCCGATTTCTGAGTGCCTGCCTCTGTTTGGCTCTTAAGGGGTCACTATAAGTTGTATGCAACTTAATGGCACTTTCCACTTTCACCATCACTGCTGCCACCCACCTTAGGTCAACCTATGTCCGATTTCTGAGTCCTGACCCACCAGTTGAATACCTGTGTGTGAGACCATGGAAATACCTTTCATAAAAACATATATTCAGAGATGAATTGGATTGTTCCAAATGTGCTGGAGGCATCTACAGCATTTCATTGCTTTGGAGGAGGCTACCCAGGTTTTTGGGGGCAGTTATTACCTGTGATCCAGAAGGCCATGTTGTAACTGAGCAGTTGGATACAACACAGAAAGGGATTTAGGGAACTAGCTCTATGCAGTACAGTGAAACAAAGTAAAAGTGTTTTAGCCATCACTGTCTATGTTGGTGGCTGTTGCTGCCGCCACTGGGATAATTATTAATAGAAAATGTGACTTAACTGACCCATCTCATTGGATCAAATATTATGGGACTGCTCATAATAAAAGATTATACAATAAAGATTAAATGATAAATTTTAGGAGCACAAATCTGCAAACACTTGGTTTGATCTTGTTCTTATTTTAGTGACCTGGAAATTGTCATGTAGGAATAAGGCTACATTGGTTGCTAGGAGATTGGATGTTCCCCTTATTGTGAGCATGTATAAAGTATTTTAAAACACTGCATTTCAAATTGATTCCTAATTCTCTGGAAATGTAAGGGTCAGGAGAAGTTATGGCATCTTAGAGTTCCTTAATTGCTTGCTTCACAGATGCAAAACACTAGATGTTTCCTAGGGCGTAGTAATCTCTCCCGTCGTTGGACTCATGCCATCTATGATAGTGAGATAATTACTAAATGCTTTACTGTACAATTGTCATTATAGACTGTCATATCATTGTGTAAAGAGAAAATGAAGTATTCTTCCTCAAGCGATGCTTGTCAATGCCTCTCTGCTATTGGAAGAAGAGTGCTTTCAATTGAATCTTGTGACACCTTTCAAGGTACCCCTTATGTTCTTTAGATATTTTAGAAATCAAGAACCACTTTTATAGTCTGCCGGAGTAACTCTCTAGTTCCTTTTTTCACCATATTAAGTTAAAAAAATTATGCCAAAAACCTATTTTTTCCTTCAGCTTTTAAATTTAATTTTCCTTTTAATAGTTCCCATTTTTAGATATTTGTATTAGGGCCCCATCCAATGAACTGCTGAGCTGACAACTGTTGAGAATAAAGCATAGCTACTGCATAAGTGCAGTGCTGAAATCTGTGGTACTGTGTTGGTTTTGTGAGTTCGGTTTATCGGGCCAGTATGTAAATGAATGGAGCTACTCTGCTGGCAATAGCTATGTAGCCAGATGCTACCTGGCACAGAGTTGTTCATCATCAAATAAGGAATCTCCCAAAGGGGAGGCTACAGCATAATAGATGCATTCCAACCATTTAAAGTTACTTATTATTTCGACCTCACCACTTTGTATTTGGTAGGCGTCTCTTTTATAAGCGGTAATGCAATGTCAAGGCATCGTAGAACTCTCATGTAACATCAGTGAAAGCTTTTTGTGCTTTGTGTGTGGTGGGAACAGTGAGAAAATGGACTGACAATTTTTTAAATGAGAATGTCTTATTTTTTTCCCCATCCAGACAGTTGTGATAACTTACAGAAGGGGAAAGTTTATGAATGGATTTCACCCTGTGAACAGTGCTCTATTAAAAATAACTGCAAGCAAGAAAATTTTTCTCTGCAAGTGGAAGACCTGAAAACTGTTGGTAGTGGAAACTTTTCTTGCGTGTACACTGTGAATGACAGAAAAGATGATATAGGAGAAATTCAAATCAACACAGTGAGTGAAAGATTCTACTGTCAACGTGTTTCAGCTCAGCTTACAAAATACAGTGAGGGGGAAAACATAAAACATAACAACAAGTACGTGAATTCTCTGGCCACAAAACTGCAACCAAGTGACTTGGAGAGAGATGTACTCGCAAAGAACAGCATGAGAAAAATAAAAACATTTCCAAAGCTAACATCTGAATTTGAAACAGACCCAAGTATTTTCTTCCCTTCTGTAACACACAGTGGGCCGCTAATGAAGAAACATCCATTAAAACCCAAGTTGTTCTCTGTAATCACTAATAATGAGCATACTGCTTTAGAGGGAAAATTAAGTCTGTGTGATACCAATAATCAGCTAGGACTAAAAGCAGAATATTTTGAGGAGTCGAATATTAATGAAGAGGAATCTTCTTTTCATCAACTGTACATGCCAGTCTGTGTTGGCAAAGACACAGACCTTTTTACATACAGTCCTGCAGTTTCTCAAAGTTCAGATAACAGCAGCATGGTAAATAGACCAGACAACTTGGCTATAGGCCCCCAAGTGCTGGCATGGGAATACTGTGCTGAAACTTCTCCATGGGCAAGTGAACTCAGTTTTCTACGTATTAACAGACCAACTACAGCATTAACAGCGACCAGTGTGAATGGATGTGGATCAGGCATCTTAAATTATCCAGAACACAATTGCACTGAGATGAAAGACTGCTATATTGAAGATGAACGAGATGGAGGCAGGGAGACAGAAAAGAAAAGCAATGAGCAGGTAGTAGACACAAACCTTGAACTGAAAAATTGTCCTGATTTGTATGACATGGAAGGAACTTAGTTATGGGTTAGGGGAAGTGGGTTACTTTCCAAGTTTTGTGTGTGACTTAAACTGAAACAGCCTGCTAAAATGAATACCAAGAATTAGCTGATTTTTCTTAATTACCAAAAGGTTTTAGTAGCAAGGGTCATTGGTGAGCAAGGTGCATGGTTAACTGCAATGTATGACAGTAATGTAGAATAAAACCGCTGTTCAGACAGAATAAATCACAGGTAATAGGCTGCAGGCAGAACTGAAGTCACTTATTTACCATTAGTTTTCCAGGAACTTGTGTCCTGGGTTGGCTTGTTTGTACCTATAACTAAGGTGATGTCATTCTGAATGGCATGTCGTACAAAGTGCCTTATTATGCCCTTGCTCCACGCTAATGTAAATGTCTAAACAGATTTATGAGAGAAGTGCCCTGACAATAGTGAATGATTCCATGTCAATGACTTGGTTTATGATAAGAGCTGCCATATGGAAGAATTCTAAAGCATCTTACTGATGTAATTCAGTCCTTGTAAAATGGAAGCTATAAATATACTGCTCATATGTCCTCTACCTTCCATGTAGAGGGCTCAAACAGTTTCGTCAGTGCAGGGCAAAGTGAGAATTTTGAATCTTTTCCCCCACTATACCATTCCCCTGGTTTAAATTACCCCTGGGATACTATAGAGTAATGGTAGACAAAACAGGCATATATCTCGGAAGCTAAGCAGGGCCAACTCTGGCAAGTACTTGGACGGGTGACCTCCAGGGGCGGGATGCAGAGACAGGCAATAGCAAGCCATCTCTCTGAAACATCCAAGCCCCACTAGGGGTTGCTAGAAGTCAACCATGACTTCCATGCTTATTCACACACACAGTACTCACCAAAAAGAAAAAAATAAACTTCCCTATGGGTCTAGCAGCACCTGAGGGCACTGGCAAAGTAAATCAGGGAAGGTGTGCAGTGGTCTCTGCAATGCATAATTCTTGCATCTTGAATGGCAGGAGTTATCTGACTGATCTCTACCAAAGGCCTTACTATTAGGCCAGTGTTTCTTCATGGATTTTCTTGTAGTTAATTGTTCCCTCTAAGATGAGTTAGTGTGAGCTAGCTCACAGTTTTTTAGCCTCCGGCTCACACATTTTTGTCTCAGCTCAGGAAGAGGATGGCTCCAGAGCAAACTAATGTATACAGTAGCCAAATAGCTTGCTCACAACTTTAATGCTAGTAGCTCACAAAGTAGAATTTTTGCTCACAAGACTCCACAGCTTAGAGGGAACATTGCATATAATAGTTTCAGTTGATATATATGTATGCCATATAACTGTCTCAATGAAGAACATCAGAAAAGGCAAAGCAATGATGGAGTAAACTGTCACAAGCACTAGTACCAGAGGTCATTTCGGGGGGGAACGCAGTTCCCCCGGGTGAGGTGCAGGGGGCGGGGCACATGACGAAGCCCCGCCCCCTGCTTCTGGTCGCCCCGCTTCCAGCCCTCATTCAGCCAGGAGGAGGCAGGAGAAGAGGGAGGATAAGTTGCTTCCTCCCCGCCTCTCCCTACCCCTGCCTGCCTGGGGCCAGGGAGGGCCTTGGCGGGGCTTCCTCGCACTCCCGCTGGCCTTGCAGGTCCACCGCCGGGCCCCGGATGTCAGGGGGTGTGGCATATGCTAATGAGTTATGCTAATGAGTTCCCCTAGCTCTTTTTCTACGAAATGACCCCTGACTAGTACCATTACTTTAACTGAAGGTTCATTGTAATCCATGCCCATTTATCCAGGTTTATCAAGACTTTTGATGACACAAACTGCACGGCTTTAAGACTTTGGTGCCACTAATGTTTCAAACTCTTTACTGAATCAAACTAAAAAAAATTTATAATGGCATACTAATGCCAGTAATTAAAAATCTATAAAACCCTTTGGCAAAAATTGTATTGTTATTTCTGTCACCTAGTTCAAATGGATCTAAACCTTTAATGGGGCTTTCAGTGTGCCTCCAAATTACCATGAGAATAGAGGCTCCGCATTCTCTTCATTGTAGTGGATGGTTTTGTCTGTGCAATGCTGGTGGCATTATACCTTTCATGGCAGTGCAGAGAAATGTTGGAAGCTGTGTTTGTTTAGAGTACGATGTGATCACTCAAGTCCAGGCTGTTATTTTGGATGCTCTATTTTGTACCAGAAGACAATGCTTACCTGGCACTACCCCCCCCCACCCTTCTGTATTAATGCCATAATCTTGCTTCCTTAATCCTTTGTGCTTTGCTTCACATTTGCATTGCAAAACCCATTCACCTATTCGCTTCAAAGCTGTATTTTTAATTACTTTGTCAGTTTAAGTGAACCAGAATCCTTTTTCTCTAATGTAATTTCATTGTAGTCTTGGGCTGTGTTCATACACACTAAATAATTCACTTTCATTGCACTTTCCAACTGGATTTTACAGTGTAAACTGGCAAAATCCAATTGGAAAGTGCATTGAAAGTGGATTTTGTGTGTGTGTGTGTGGCCGCAGCCTTGGTGTCTCATCTCTTTCTGTGCAATTGCTATGGCTTTTGTAATCACAACTTCAGCCCTCAATCTATCACTCTGCCATCACGTAGACCTTTACACTGTGACTGAAATGAAAAACCAAGTCAGATAATGAATTTATAATAGGAAAAAAATGCCGTTTTCAGATGGTGTAACAGTCATCTTGGCCCCTGAATGATGCTTGTTAGGAAATTGATTCAGATTTTGTAGAAGGCTATTTGAACAGTGTTTCCCATTAATTCCCAAAAAGAACGATTAAGAAATGAGTATCTTTGTCGTCTGGGGAATGTCAGTATTAACAAATACATTCAGTGTACAGGATACATTTTTCATTAGTATGGGTATTGTAGTAGTAGTACCATTTGGATACTTGTCACTTGGATAAACATATAAATTGGACTACAAATTCCTGAACAGGAGAATTCTGTAATTTGCAGTATAAGATTTCTATATTCTCATGCTCAGCTCCTTCTTTCCTGGAGCAAATACTTAATATATATATTGGTTTACTTGATAGACTGCTCAAGTGTTAGTCCTTTAAACATTTTACCTATTTGAAATCTCTCCATCTGTGGTAGTTTTCACATTACTGACTTCAAATCCAGTAAATGCTGTTCTGGCTTTCAAGTATTCCCAGCAAGAGGCTTTTGGAACATCTCAGAGGTACTTCAGGACTGAGTCTTAAAAGCTGAATGGCACAGACAGAAACAACAACAGTTATGGGTTTTGTGATGTCCCTTGAGAGCTTCATGGTCATTTAAGGGAGGATTCTGGGTTTTAAGTTCTGTTTTGTGTTGTTATTGAAACCATGGCATGTCAATCTATGTGTAGGAGTGCCTATTATTGCAGACCATTGGTCCCTATGTAGCATAATATTGCTTATTTTGGACATGTGGGCTCTGTAGTATCAGGTAGAGGACTTATCACTAGCTCCAGGGGTCTTTTTGTAGAAAAAGAGCTGCCGGAGCTCATTAGCATAACTCATTAGCATATGCCACACCCCCTGACATCACCGGAAGTGTATCATAAGGCCACACCCCCTGACATCACCGGAAGTGTGTCAGCTATGGAAGCCTGGCAGGTGACCTTTGGACTATCACAGTCTCTCAGCCTTACCTTGCCTCACAAGATGATGATGATTATTTAATTTATAGACCAGAAGAACATAAGAGAAGCCAATGTTGGATCAGGCCAATGGCCCATCCAGTCCAACATTCTGTCACACAGTGGCCAAAAACACCAGGTGCCCTCAGGAGGTCCACCAGCAGGGCCAAAACTCCAGGAACCCTCCCACTCTTGCCCCCCAAGCACCAAAAATGCAGAGCATCACTGCGCCAGACATAAGAACATAAGAGAAGCCATGTTGGATCAGGCCAGTGGCCCATCCAGTCCAACACTCTGTGTCACACATCAGCCAAAAATACCAGCTGCCCCCAGGAGGTCCGACAGTGGGGCTATAATACCAGAAACCCTCCCACTGTCTGTCAGACGGAGGGGGGATTTTTCCCCACGGAGCGCCTTTGCGCTCCACTGGGGAGCTTGGGGATGTGCTGGCCCGAGACGGGGGGGGCGTGGCTGGCCAGAGACGGGGGGGAGAGTTTTCCCCACGGAGCGCCTTTGCGCTTCGCCGGGGAGTTTGGGGATGGGCCGTCCAGGCCAAGCAAGGCCTCCGCCGGGGAGCTTGGGGATGGGACCTTACCTCCCTGCTGCTTGCTCCTTGGTCCGACTGATGGCTGCTGGGAGCAGGGGGCGGGCTTATGTCCCCACCCCCTGGGCTTCTGACAGGCGGAGCGCCGTACCAGCGAGCTCCAGCAGGAACCGACCCCTGACTAGCTCTCTTCCTAGATGCTAGGGACTCGTACACAGGGGTCATTTCCTGCAGGAGCGCACAGGAGTGGCACTCCGGCAGTAAAGAGCACGGGGGGCGGGCATGGGCAACAAGCCCCACCCCCTGCTCCCAGCAGCCCTCAGTCAGAGCAAGAAGCAGCCAGGTAAGTTGCAGAACCCCCCCCCCCGGGGGCCCGGTCCATGACAGTCCAGTGACACCTTTAAGACCAAGGTTTATTCAGGCAGAAGCTCTCCCTTCTCTTCGCTGCACGTTCCCCTCTCTCCCAATAGCTAGCAATCCAAAACAGTCCAGTGGAGTCTGAGCGGTGGGTTTTGCCTTCTGACACACTTCCGGTGAGGTCAGGGGGTGTGGCATATGCAAATGAGTTATGCTAATGAGTTATGCTAATGAGCGCCTGCACCTCTTTTTCTACGAAATGACCACTGCTCGTACATGCAAACAAATTCTCCTGTCCGGGACCGTTCTCTCCTGTATCTTCTCTTACCTGATGATTCAAAATTGATTGTGTTCTCAGTGCCTTTGATTTCACACATGTACATGGAAAGAATATCTGAAAATAGCAGCATTTTAGCAGATGATTAATCTCCAAATAAAATTATGTTTACTATGTTTTTAGAAAAGCAAAAAACAAGTAGGCATTCAAGAAGAGCTGCAATTATTATTTCCTTGTCTGAAAACTAAAGCATTGGTTTGGACTGTATGCAACCAAGAGTAAAAAGATGCCTGGATTTTTTTTAGGTCAGAAGTATTTGAACCTGTCTCAGGATTACAAAGATGCATAGAATGAAGGATGACTATTTCTGGTGGAAAGATTTCTATCAGTTCTATGCCACAAAGTCAATTTGCAACAATTACGCATGGCAAATTTCTTTAGAGTGATAAAGAGCAGAAAAATTACTGTTGTATGAAATTGATGTATTTGTTCATGCCCAATGCTATGAACTCTTTGAAACCATGCTACTAAATGAGCAGTCTCGTAACATTATATTTACGGAAAATATTTATATACTGCCTTTTGACTAAAGCCCCTGAGGCAGCTTACGAGTGAGATAAAATCTTCCCTTCAGAGTCCATTGACATCCAGCTCTTCTGCAGAAGGAGAGTGAGGGAGAACAAGGTTGACGGGTCAACTGGCCACTTTCTTTCCCCCCTTCTGTGAACAGCAGGGTGCCCCCACTGTTTGGAGGAGCTTTGACATAATGCGCTTCCAAGGATTTCTCTTCTGAGAAGACGTCATTTGATCTGGTTCAAAGGAGGAGGTGTGGGGTGGCTGAGGATGAAGTATCCATATGAACATCTGGGTAGGGGTTGGACTTAAGATCCACATTTCTTTCTACCCTTTAGTCCTTTAACATGTTTTTTTACACTATGGTTCAGCTGGAATGGCTGAAAAGGGGGTCTCCTAGTATGATTGCCCTTGTGTCATCACTTCTGTGCTGATGTGATGATGAGAGGAAAGGGTGGGGTGGGTACGGCAACAGCTGCACCCAGGACAGAATGTGCAGACCTGTCTGCTGCTTGCTCCCTTGCAGTTCACTGCCACTCCAGAGGTGCTTTTCCTGCCCCTTGATGTAGGGTTTGGGTGACAGGAGAGGGAGGAAGAGACAGCAAGGCCCTTATATGTGGTTTCCTCCGTTTGTATTTGTAAGCTGCCTTGAATTTTTTAAAAACAGAAAGGTGTAATATTAGTGTAATCAATATAACAGCAATCAAATCTGTAAACTCACAATGATCAACCAAGCAGATGTGTGCTGACAGCAGGGATTTCTGCTAGCCAAATGGGACTTCCCTCGTCCCTTCTCCCACTGCAGCACAAAATGATCCCTGAAATGTTTATCCTGAGGGACAGGGGACCTCCAGAAACAGTATGCTGTGCATCGAAGGTCTGCAGCAAGAGGGACGAATCGGAGAAAATTCCCTTCCTTTGCATTGGAGGAAATTCTCCACAGGATCCGAGCCATGGTATCAGACAATAATAGAACTTGAGAACCTGCTAACCACTAGTAATGTTCTGTACATTTCTTCAATAATAGGTTTCCCACAAAATACTAATCTTTTCATATCATTGTTGCTTGGAGAGCTTTAAGTGACAATGAAGACTTTAAAGGAAGATGCACAAAGCACAACTGCCAAGATAGATCATGTTTTAGTGCTGGCAACTTGGGGATGAGAGATACAGATGAAGAGACAGTGATGTGTTACGAAGAAGATACCTGGGGTTTGATTCAGGGCAACAAAAAACCCTACTCTCCACTTGTGTTAGCATTACAAGGATAATATGAATTTTAGAAGCTTAGGGCCTGTTTCTATATATGCTGCAATATTGGAGGTATTGACAATTGATATGCTTGCTAATTGCTTGACTATCTCTACCGTTAATGTGCAAGTGATGACCAGGTATCTTTCACTAGTTTCCCAAGATGCTATAACAAAGGATCTTCAATGGAACCAGCAGTATATTATATTTTAACAGAGCTGCAAGTGATATTGTCTTTATATAGTACTATAACTCATAGATGGTTATAAATAGTGTATCTAGTCAAGAGGCAGAAGTACTGAATAAGTAATCTCTTTCTTTCAGTGTTTTTAGGTCATAATTCATTTTTTAAATCTAAAACAAATTTGAGGCGCAAGTAATTAAATATGGAGTTCTGCAGTCACCTGTGTATTGCAATTCTCAGTTATGTCTAGTGAGAAGTATCCACGTGTACACTATTGATAAAGAGTAAAAGCTATGGCTATATTAAATGCTTTGTTTCCATATCAAACACATAAGTGTTTCATAACATTTCAAGAAAAATGGGAGGAACAACAGAGGGCTGGATACAAAGAACCATAAGCCGAAAGAATATAGCCACTAGTGCTGTTCTACATATACTTGTCCAAGAGTTTGTGCAGTGGCTCAAGTGGTTAAGACGCTGAACTGCAGGCTGTGGAAGGTCGGTAGTTCAGCAGTTCAAGACCCGAGTTGCCACATGACGGAGTGAGCTCCCGTCTCTAGTTCCAGCTCCTGCCAACCTAGCAGTTCGAAAGCAAGAAATTGCAAGTAGATAAATAGGTACCACTTTGGTGGGAAGGTAACAGCGTTCCGTGCGCCTTGGTGTTTAGTCTTGCCGGCCACATGACCACGGAAACGTCTTTGGTCAGCGGCTTTGAAACGGAGATGAGCACCACAACCCTAGAGTCGGATTCAACTGGCTTTCGAGCAAGGGAACCTTTACCTTTTATAATAGGCTGTATAATAGCTTCCAGCCATGGAAGCAGAGAACGTCCATGGATTTAGTTTCTCTTTTCTTGTGTGAGTGTGGGGTTTAAAATAGTCCTTCTGTGGGCAGAGATGCCTTATATGCCTTCAGATCCAGCACAGAATTTCTAGGCAGGGAAATCCTGGGTCAAGGCAGTGTGCAATGGACTATGAGTATGTACACAAGATGGACATGCATTCTTTGAAACGAGTATAACTTTAGCAATGCTTTTTGTACCTTAACTGTCCTTAACATTTTATTTTCAGTGGGTTTTTCTGAAACATCTCTTAACACGGTATGGTAAACCACTGAAAGACTATGAGCTATGGGCTTTATGTTATGAATGTTTGCTTGCTCTGGAAGCTTATACAGATTATCCAGGTAAGACCATTATTAATTTCCTTTGAATTTATATATTTACTTAAACTTGACATTAATGTCATCCTTCTGCAAATAAAGCTGGCTGGGTCCTTTGGGAGGACAGAGTGAATTGGCATACAGGAGGTATACACTGGTCTTTCACTGTAGATTGTGTCCAGTCTGAGGGGCAGTTTGGGAAGTGAGAGGAGTTAAGAGTGCCCCATGGAATCTCACGCTGATTCCCATCTGCAGGTAGCCAGAAGATACCTCAGTGTTCTGTACATCAAACATATTTGAACGTTGGGTTTTGGTTGTGTCTACTGCCATGCAGCCTGAGAAGAAATCTACAGGACACTGTGTTGCCAGACTTAAGAATACCCCCCCCCCTTTTACATGCTAGTCTGTTTCCTGTAAATATTTTTAGGCAAGAATTTTAGGCATGCTGTGAAGTGTGCAATGGCATAGACGCAAATCAATACGGAATGGTTATAAACAAACTGTAAAGTCAATAATTCAGCACATATTCTTTTACGATGCCCATAAAGTCACTTTCCATATGCTGTCAACTTTTTTGCAAAGGAAGATGGTTTATCGTGGTTCTGGGTGCTCTTACACAGCTACTTAATGCTGGGTTTATTGTGGGGAAGTAGAATATATATCGTAGGTTTTCATTTACGATGACAGTATTTTGATGTGAGGGTTTGAGGGAGGTGGTATTGTTAGGTTAGTAGGGATGACCTTGGTGCTTTCTGGAGACTTGATTTTCCTATGCTTAATACACACTTGGGGGGATGCTCTTGTATACAGTCATGGTTGTCAGCTGGCATGAGTTTTCTGTGACATGCTTCTTGATGCTGGGGCAGCTGTGCTGTTGTATTTGAGCACTGGCAGTTCTAGTGCCCTAACCTTGTTCTCCTGACCCTTTGAGGTAAATGACTATTGATCCCTTCTTTGTGTGGATATTACTGCCTTCATTTTAACTTTGTTTTTGGCACTTGGCATATTGAACTCACTTTGCCACTGATGAAATTGGGTGAGAGGATTGAAAAGGGGGAGGGAAGCATTGAAGCCCATGTAATATAATGTGGTAATCTGATCCAATGATGGAATAAAAGGGGCCTGGCCATTCCCCCCTCCTCTATAAAAGCACTGATCTCTTCACATTTCCTAGTTGAACAGGATCCCTATTTGTATGGCAACCCTGGTGGCTGTGGAAGCCTTATGAGTCCCTACTTAGATGAGGGTGTTAAAAGAGAAAAAACAAAATATGGATCCTCTTCAGTTAGGAAGGATTAAGATAGCAGTGTTTTGGTGGTATTCACATTATGTGAGGGGGGGGGGAAATGGATGTGCCCTTTTCAGCTTATATTCCATTGTTGGGTCAAATTACCACATTACGATATTACAAAATCTTTTCTGTAGGCTAAGGCCATTTATTCCTTCCTGCCTTCATGCTGGAGTGCCTGCAGAGCTCAAGTACTTTTTAACTGCTTTTATCTTCTCTTTTGCTGATTATGTTACACTCATTTCAATTCAGCCCTTTTAAAAACCATTTAGCTTTATTTAGATGACATGATAAACTGTAGTTTGTGTTGCACGCTGTCTGCCAGATGTAAATAACAACTCCCTGCTTTATCTGCTGCCTCTCTCCTGTCTCCCGGCAGGAAGACGTCATCCCTTTTGTGCTATCTTTGTGGGCAGGTGGCTATAAGGGGCAGCAAACTCTGGTTTGAAATCCCCATTTAAACCATCTTTATTGGAATAATACAACCAGCTAGGGTAATTAATTCATTATGATGTAACCCGCCCTGAGCCCACTTGTGGGATGGGCAAGCTATAAATACAAATAATACAAATAAATAAATGGCAATGTGTGTAGAGTAGCCAGGAGAGCCAAAGATTGTCTGGCAGCCTGAAGCTTTAGCCCTTTAGCATTATGCACCACTGGGTGGCGAGTTGGACTTATTTTTTGGGCCAAGAGAGCTCTGAAAGAGCTGTGACTTACCCAAGGTCACCCAGCTGGCTTCATAGGGAGGAATGTGGAATCAAACCCAATTCTCCAGATTAGAGTTCGTTGCTCTTAACCACTTCACCAAGCTGGCTGTCACTAACTAGGGTAACCAATCTCAAGTTCTATCATTACAACTATCTCCAGACTCCAGATATCAGTTTCCCTGGAGGAAATGGCAGCTCCAGAGGGTGAGCTGTATGGCACCCTCAAATCTCTTATCACCCTCTAATTTCCAGGAATTTCCCAAGCTTAGAATCACCAGGTTTGATCAAACCATGATTTATCATAATGTCTGAATGCAGACCTTAATTCCCCTCCCCCAGACATTACGTGTCATATGCATGATTCCAGTTTCAAACAAGATGTCAATTACATGTATTGGGAGGATTGTGGGTAGTGCTTTCTTACAGTATGCATGGTTGGATACACCCAGATATAACATCTGGGAGGGGTGGAAGAGTCTCTCAAGGTGCTGAGCAGATGAAATGTTATTTACTTCAGATGATGTATGAATTGGATTTTCAATCTGTTGTGTGAGGGCAGACATCCTTATACCAAAGCTTAATCCAGCCACATTTTAAACTTCTGTAAGATTCTGAGCTCTGTTACTTTTTTATTACCTATTTTTCAGCATATTTGTGTTTAGACTCCGTGTTGATGAATAGTGATGGAAGTGTTCTGTTTGCTGCACGTGAAAGTGAAGGTAAATGCATGCTACTTATTTCATTACACTACATTTATGTTTTAGCAATATTAAAACAAGTGCATACATTTTTTGGTGATTTTTCTTTTGTCATTAGGATCGTATGATATGTTTTACTTGGCTCCTGAGACAGCGGAAGATGATTTTGTTACTGAAAAGGTAGTGTATTATGTTGATAAGATCTAATGTAACTGGAAGTACATAATTAAAGAAAATAGCAACTACATGTCTGATCTGCAAAGATGGTCATGTTTACAAGCACATTTGTTCCCTAATGTTAAAAGAAATGCCTCTAAAACCCTAAAAAAGCTAAAGTTTTGTTTAATGCCAATATCTCAGTTATTATGTATTTGAATTCAAGTAAAAAGCAGCAGAAGGATTTTTAATTGATATAAATAGAACGTTTCTGACATTTGACAGACACATGGACACATGAAGCGGCCTTATACTGAATCAGACAATCTGTCCATCACGGTCAGTACTGTCTACTCAGACTGGCAGCAGCTGTCCAGGGTCTCAGGCAGAGGTCTTTTAAACCCCTTCTCTGGAGTCACACCACAGCAGCGGCATGATCTCCCCATAGGGTACAGTGGAGAGATCATGCTGCTACTGCGGCACAACTCAAGAGAGAAGGGTCTTAAACTTTAAACCCCTTCTCTGGAGTCATGCCATCTCTCCATTGTACCTTATGGCCCCATAGAGTACAATGGAGAGATTGTGCCACCACTACAGCACGACTCCAGAGAAGACCTTGGCAAACCAGCTGGGGAAGTGAAGGGGAGGCATTTAAAGATCCCTCCCTGATCTTTCTTCACTTCCCCAGGCAGCCCATCTTGGCAAGCTGGCTGAAGAAGCAAAGAAATATCAGGGAGGCATATTTAAATGCCTCATCTTCGCTTCCTTAGCTGGACCACCTTGTCAGGCCAGCTGGGGAAGCAAGGGACAGCATTTAAAGATGCCTCCGTGATCTGTCCTTGCTTCCCCAGCTGGCCTGCCACAGGGGCCAGATGAGGAAGCAAAGGGGAGGCATCTTTAAAAGCCTCCCCAATCTGTCTTCACTTCCCCAGTCAGCCTGCTGCAGCACCCAGCTTGGGAAGCGCAGGGGAGGGAGAGTGGGTCAGTTTCACTCCCCCTTCACTTGGGACTCAGGAATATCGGTATTTACAGGTATTCTTTGGGTTTGGTTTACCCAGACCCGAAAAATACTGATTTTTCCCCCATGCACGCCTTTAGTTATAATAGATAGGTTCTATTGCCATCCTTGTACAGGGTGGTGTTCAGGGTGGTGAAAACCAGTGAGGATTGTGAGGAACTCCAAAGGGATCTGTCGAGGATGGGTGAGTGGCCGTCAAAGTGGCAAATGGGGTTCAATGTGGCCAAGTGCAAGGTGATGCACATTGGAGCCAAAAATCCTAAATATAAATACACATTGATGGGGTCTGAACTGGCAGAGACTGAGCAAGAGAGAGATCTTGGAGTTGTAGTAGATAACTCACTGAAAATGTCAAGACAGTGTGTGACTGCAATAAAGAAGGCCAAAGCTATGCTGGGGATTATTAGGAAGGGTATTGAAAACAGATCAGCCAATATCATAATGCCCCTATATAAATCAATGGTGAGACCTCATTGGGAATACTGTGTGCAGTTCTGGTCACCACACCTTAAAAAGGATATTATAGCTTTGGAAAAAGTGCAGAAAAGGGCAACTCGAATGATAAAAGGGTTGGAACACTTTCCCTATGAGGAAAGGTTAAAGCGCTTAGGGCTCTTTAGCTTGGAGAAAAGACGACTGAGGGGTGACATGATCGAGGTTTATAAGATTATGCATGGGAAAGAGCAGGTAGAGAAAGAGGTACTTTTCTCCCTTTCTCACAATACAAGAACTCGTGGGCACTCCATGAAACTGCAGAGCGGTCGGGTTAGAACGGATAAAAGGAAGTACTTCTTCACCCAAAGAGTGATTAACACATGGAATTCACTGCCACAGGAAGTGGTGGCGGCTACAAGCATGGACGGCTTCAAAAGGGAATTAGATAAGCATATGGAGTAGAGGTCCATCGGTGGCTATTAGCCACAAGGTATAGATAGGGGCTCTGGGGCAAGTGATGCTCTGTCTTCTTGGTGCTTGGGGGGGGTCAACAATGGGAGGGCTTCTAATGTCCTGGCCCCACTGGTGGACCTCCTGATGGCACTGGTATTTCTGGCCACTGTGTGACACAGAGTGTTGGACTGGATGGGCCTTTGGCCTGATCCAACATTGGCGTCTCTTATGTTCTTATGTACAACTTCTTGACAAGAAGAACTCTTTCAGGTTTAATTTCACATTCTTGTCCAAAACTCTGTGAGTATAACTGTATCTTTTGACCCAGCCTCCATTCTGAGAGCATAAAGACAATGGTGTGTGTGTGTGGGAGGGAATGAATTGTTTTGCCCGTCTTAACATTCATGACACTAACGGTGCTAATGCTAATTGTCATTTTTTTCATATTACTCAAAGGCTGAAATTTATTTCAAAGAACTTTCTTTCTACACAGTCAGTTTTTGGTGCGATAAATGTGCATTGGTTGCATGTAAACTGAACAACTCAAGGTGGTGCTTCGAGTTGTGAGAAATGTTGCAAAGGGATACCCCTGTTTACCTTTGGAGGCTGTATGCTTCCTTTTGTGCAGCAGCATGTATCTAGCTCTCTCCCTGTTTTTCTTTTGCACATGGGTGGGCTCTTGTGCTATGGTCCAGAAAAGTCATTTGTGAGAGTGTCCCACCCACAGCCAATATGTTCTTGTGGCATATGTGCAGCAGTCGTATAGAAAAGCCTGTAATTATGCTCCACTGTTTCCTGATCTCCAGTATGCCTGAGACTTGCCAGGGCTCAGCTGCCTGTGCTGATCCTGGCAAAAGTGTCAGGACAACTGTTTGTGGACTGTGCTTCTTGTAAATGTCTGGCCCTGTGTCAGTACTGATGTGTAAGTATATGTCTTTGCTCCTGAGTGGGAGTTGTCTGGTGACATCTTTGTGCTTTTCTGCTATGCCATCTTCAACAGGTTTGTATTTACTGTATTGCTGCAATTTTGTGGAGAACAGCAAAATATAATTTTCCACCTGATCACAAACTGGTGTTGCCAAGGAAACTGAAGAATTTTCTTCTGAATATGGCAAGAAGAAAGTCGGAAGACAGGCTTTCCCTGGCAGAAGCAATTAAGGTGATTTACTAAAAAAGATTTCATTCCCACATACTATTCTAGTAGCAAAGATGAACCTTGAACATTTTTTGTAACCTCAAATTAAGTGGTACGTAATTATACCCTCTTTCTTGGCTGAGTAGCTCCCCTGAGAACAAATGTGTGAGTTTTTAAAAATATATTGAAATGTATTAACTTCAAATGAATTCTAATAAAGTTAATGAATTTATCTAAATTAAAAAATGAATAAAATATTTTGAAGAACTTTTTTCTTTATGGAGTAAATGGGCATTCATAGTAACAGTTCAACATGGTATTTCATATTTCTAGACATGTGATAGCTCTCTGCTGGAACAGGGTGTAAACAGCAAGAAAGTGCTGACATTTTTGAACAAAGCAGCCTTTCAGGTATGAGGGTTTGTGTGTGTGTGTGTGTGTGTGTGTGTGAAATGTTTACATTTCTATGGAGTTTGTTCAAGCAAAATTTGTCAATAGCAGAAGTAATTCTTTTCGTGGGGCTTGGCTGAACATTGTAAGTAGCTCTAAGTAATATTAAAAGTCTTGATTTTAAAATATAACAGAAGGAATAAATAATAATTGGGACTGTCCATTCTTTTTTAAAATTCCATAAATAGGTGTGTGAACTTAATTTTCAGAAACGTTTTTCCCTTGCTGTCATTTCCAAATACTATATCCTGTCAACTGTATCAAAGACTCACATTCATGTACTGCCTAAATGTCCCAAATATGTGTTATCACCAATTACAGTTGCTGTGAAAGATCACTGGGTTTATTGTGTACTTTTCTGTTTTGTGTAGAAATGTCACAGGCTAGGCCTCTTAACACACTGTTCTCATTTTTCTTCTTTCTTCTCACTGGGTATTTAAAAAAAGATCCTGCTTACTAAGGATTCACTTCACTGCATCTGATGATGGAATAGACTTATTTAGCTCTAAGCCTCTTCTGAATATTTTTACTTTTTTAAAATTCTTGAAATCTTAAAGTGTTGTGGAAGTATTGTATATGTTGAGCTGTTGTTACAAAAACTGTGGGGGGGGATTACAGTGCAATCCTAAACAAGATTATACCTTTCTAAATCCACTGAAGTCAATGGGCTTAGATGGGAGTAAATCTGTTGAGGAGAAGAACATTTGTCTTGATAGCAGATGTTATTTTTAATGCAATTTTTTTTACAATTTTGTGTTAGGATTTGAAAGAAGTAGAAGCTTCTTTTTGTGATAACTTGCCTCTTGAGTTTCCAAATGAGAGGAAGCCAATGGATAATAATGTAGGTGAGTACTTCTGCAGAAAGACCACTATTCTTGCATGTGTGTAATATGAGAACACAGTAGGATTGCCAGGTCTCTTGCTGTGGTGCTCAGAGTGGTGGGGGGAGAAAAATAAACAAAAAATATAACTGCTGGGCCAATTCTGCTATGTCAGTTTTGGGGGGGGGACCTGGAAGTTCTGTCTGTCCTCCTTTGACATCTCCAGAAACGTTTACCGTAGCGTTTCTGGCAATTTCTAGAGAGCTCCCCCGCCGGGCCTCTGCCAGTTGCCAGGCGGCTTGTACAATGAAGCTGATAGACAGTGGATGCAGGACAGACAAAAGGAAATACTTCTTTACACAGAAAGTCATTAAAATGAGCAATTTGCAGACAGAGGATGTAGTGATGGCCACAGGAATAAGCAGCTTTAAAGGGATTATATAGATTTGTGGTGGATAGGACCATCCGTGGCAAATTCAAGGGAAGGTCTTGGCCTGTTGGTCCTCCAGACCGCTGGTATGGTCCGGCACTGCTCTTCTTATGTTGCTAATCATGCTGGATATATGTTTGTGTATATTCCCAAGTGTTTTTCTTCCTCATAGGTTAAATTAATACTTTTTTCCTTTTTCCCCCCATTTATGTTCCTCCTGTTTGGATATTAAGGATTTTTACCTATTCACAATGAAAGCAAGTTGATAGCACTGAAAGGACCACTCCCTTGCCTGACTTCTTTAAACACTGTTAGCACCATATTGCCAACTGCTTTCACCTCTTCAGCAACACATTTTAAGCCCATTGTTCTGCATCAGAATGCAGGCATGGAAAAGTAAGTAAATCCTCATAATGTTAGGACCACAGTATACTAACGTTTTATATGCTGTATTTAACATAAGGTAGCTTTGACTTATTTTCTTCTTAATATGCTTCCTTGTTTTCCACTGTAGTGAATCCATTTGAGATACCTTGGCCGAGTTCAGACTGGCAGTTTGCCCCGATATAGGCTCGTGTGAGGAACATTTCACAAGCGGATTAAAGGGGCCGTTCACACAGGCACATCTGTCCAGCGTTCCCCACCCGTACTCAACCCATCTTGTAGCGCTTGCCTCCCGGGTTTAAAAGATACCTGGTGAAAGTGGTAGCAAACCCTGGAGAGCCCATTTATCCCACATCATTCCGCTTCCCGGAAGTGTGAACGCTAACCACTAAAAGCCAGGAACAGCCCGCATTAATAATGTGCGCCAGTTGTTTATGCTGACTGACCTCCTACTCTCACTCTGGCACCAGGAAAGTACAGGTGATTGCCTTGAAGAGGGGGTAGTGATATCGCCAGATGTTCCTATGGCCCACAGCGGCCGGATCCTGTCTGTTTGCCACTGCGCCTAGGCATCTGCCACGAGGAAAACTATGCTTACAGCTGCGCCTCTGGGCCAACAATATGAACGCTCCCTCGCGCCTCATCCCGGTATGCTCCTGCATCAGTCCGCGCAGTGTGACCGGGAAAACCTGGAACAGTTTGTTCCGGTTCTTTTTTGCAATGACTCCCTCCCACTTCAAACTGCCAGTTTGAACTCTGCCCTTATGTACCACTAAGGAATGCATACTTATAAGCAACTCAGGCTCTCAGTCAACCTGCTGATTGTTATTTCCACTTGTTCCTAGGTCTGTTTAAAAATACTTCCTAAATTCAGCATTCTATGCAGGTTCCTATTGAGCAAATGTACATTTCTTCTTATGTTCTAGACCTTTCAGATGTTCTGTTTCAGAGTTTCAACTGAATGTGTGTGCTACACATGATCCTCTAGTTTGGTGTAGTGGTTAAGTGCACGGACTCTAATCTGGGAGAACCGGGTTTGATTCCCCACTCCCCCACTTGCACCTGGCTGGATGACCTTGGGCAAGCCGTAGTTCTGATAAGAGCTGTTCTTGAAAAAGAGCAGTTTCTGTCAAGAGTTCTCTCAGGCCCACCTACCTCACAGGGTGTCTGTTGTGGGGAGGGGAAAGGAAAGGAGTTTGTAAGCTGCTCTGAGACACCTTTGGGTAGTGAAGGGTGGGGTATAAATCCAGTTTCTTGTTCTTCTTCTTCTTCTTCTACTTGTTGCCATTTTGCATGAAAGGAGTAACACATGTACTTTCCATGCACGTACATTCATACCACATGAATGGAATCCTAGATTTCTGAGGAAATGTGTTTGCACATACTTTAGCCGTATGCATGTGAAAAATGTGCATGTTTATCAAGTCAAAGAAAATTGTGATAATGTTGGCAGAGTTTAGGAAATAATCCAATCCATGCTTTGGAGTTTGCTTTCAATGAATTTACTGCAATAGGATTTTGCAGAAAGACAATAACTAACTGCAGGCACTAATACAACAGAGAGGCCTTCAGAGCACAAGCACTAAAACACACACTAACACACAGCAGAGAGAGAGAGACAACAAGAGAACTGGAAGAGAAAACATTCAATAAACCCTAAATACTAGAGAATGCAGCACAGCTCCCCCTAGGATGCAAGTGGACTGAACTATTCTTTCAAAAAAAAGCAGGATTTATATTAACTGGACTCTAGGCTGTCTCTTTTCAAACAGACAGAAGGTATCAAGAGGTGCACACTCCCATTATGTGTGGTTCTACTGCGAAAAGTGAATATTTGAAAAGGGCTCATAAGAACATAGCAACTGCACTGTTGGCTGATATCAGGGGTATCTGCAATTCAACAGTTTGCCTCCACATAGACCCCAGGCCCAGCATCTGGTATTCAGAGCTACAAATTTTATTTTAGACTACACAAATTTGCAGAATAGTTATGTCCGTTTCATTTCACATTACTTCCATAACAAGCTAACACAATGTGTTACATTAGAATATAATTGATTGAGGCTGCGGTCACACGTACCAGATAACGTGGGGGTGAGGCGAGGCTATTCATGCTGTCGCAATTTGACGCGCCACTACGATGATCAGGCGCGATGGCAGTGAACCTGGGGGGTTTTCTGTCGGTGCATTTCGGCGCGCTTCAACGAGGAGACAGTAGGAACGTGCTGGAGTGATCAGACGGAGACAGTCCGTCGCGCGACAGCAGTGAACCTGGGGTTTTTTCTGTTGGTGCATTTTGGCGCGCTTCATCGAGGAGACAGTAGGAGTAGGAACGCGCTGGAGTGATCAGACGGAGACAGTCCGTCTGCGGCCCATTGCAAACAATTTCCTACTGGATTTTCCAAGGTACTTTTTTACTCTGCAGCATCAGCTGGGCGATACGAGTTGGGGGTGGGGGCACGATGCTTGCCAGATGTGTCCATGTGATCGTGCCCGTTAAATTCATCCCTCTCACGCGGCTAATTGTGCGTGTGATTGGAGCCTGATATTCCCAAATGAACAACGTGCTTCCAATTTCTGTCTTTTTCAATGGTATACAATTTATTATTTTTGCCATAGAGCTATAGTTCCATACCCTTTCTGTTTGTTCCCTAAAGCCAGAATTTTGGTGTAATGCTAATAACTTGTGTATGCTATTTTAGCAGCTTTTACCACATAGGATACCAGTTTATCTCGGTGGTAAACACTGTGTTTGGAATGTGCCAGTAGACATAATAGAGAGTCTAACTATATAAATTATATCCAGGGATCCTTTACAGTACAATTAATACTGATTTGCTAGTGGACATGTCCGCCATCATTTAAAAAAACATCAACAAACTTCTTTTGGGGTTCGTCATTGCCAACATTTCAGGCTGACATTCCCATTTACGTTGCTTAATATATTATGAGCAATGTACTTTATAGATATCAGCTTGAAACAATTTCCTCTTATATCCATATTCAGAGAAGTAATGTCTATTTTAGCTGTCATCCCTAATAGCTATATGGCAGATATTGCCAGCATTTGTCTAGTCTGTTTTTAAAATTACCTGAGTTGGTGACCATCATATGATTATGCCTGCTGTATTTATTTCCTACTTTCCTACCCAGTTAGGGTCCTCAGGGCAGTGAACATTTAAAAAGACATTAAAATCAAGTTTAATAACAATACGTATATATTAAAAAAATCAGTTTGGTCAGTGACTGCCAAATGGAATAGATAAGCCTTTACCTGTTGACAGAAAAGAGAGATAGAAGGCAACATATGAATCTCCTTGGGGAGGGAAGTTTGCAGTTTTGATGTCATGACCAAGAAGACCTTTTCTAGGGTTGCTACCCATCAAACCTTAGATAACAGGGGTAACAGAAGCAGGGTCCCCAAAGATGACCATACTAGTCAGGTAGGTTCATATGGGAGTAGGCAGGTATTACAGACTAAATTCTGTACTCCTCAGAGATAACTTTACCTGTTTGACTGGGTAGGGAATCTTCTTCTCTTTCTAGAAGATTTATCCCCTTTCCTTTTACCTGAATGGAAGTCTTATTCTACTACACAAACCTCCTTGCCAAACCTTCTCCCAGTTCTCTGTCTGTGTTCATCTGCTCTGAGCTAATGCTAAATTCAGACTGCATTCAGTCAGTGTTGAAATCTGATTCTGTCAGCACTGAACACCTTTTTCTGTCTCAGATGGTCTCAGTACACCTCTCTTCTCAGTTAAGGCAGGAATCTTACTGAATCTCCTCAGCATCCAGCTTTCTCAAGAGTTTTTCTGCTGAGCTGATGCTAGCCAATCAGATTGTTTAGAGTAGCCTGTCACTCAAGGCTCATTGGCTCTGTGAAGAAGTAACCCTTCACAGTCCTTTAGTTGTTGGTACAGCACTTATAAGTCTTTTAAAAAGTACAGTCTGTCGCAGCAGGTGTGCTGGTTCCAAGCTCTATAGCACTTTATTGGTAAATCCCAGCCCTTTGAATAGGGCCTGGGAGCAAACTGGAAACCAGTATAAATGGAACAAAACTGTAGTGACATAGTCTTGATGACCCACTCTATCAGCATTTTGTACTAACAAGAAGGCGGACCTGCGATACTCGTGAGGGGGAGCTTCACACAGAGGAGGAGGAAGCAGCTGCAGGTAAGTTTTCTCTCCCCACCGGCACCAAAAGCGAGGCCTGTGCGGCTCCTGCTGGGTCTGCAAAACGTTCTCCCCCCGCCCAGCACCAATGGCAAGGCCTGCACAGCTCCCAGCTGCCGGGCCCGCTAAGCCTTCTCCCTGCCCCCCCAGCACCAATGGCAAGGCCCATGGCAAGGCCCGCGCAGCTCCCGCCAGGTGTGCCAACCCTTCTCCCCCCCGCACCAATGGCAAGGCCCATGCGGCTCCCGTCGGGCCCACCAAGCCTTCTCCCCCACCTCCGGCACCAATGGCAAGGCCTGCGCTGCTCCCAGTCATCGGGCCCACCAAGCTTTCTCCCTCCCCTGTTGGCGGCGGCAGCAGCAGTGAGGCCTGAGCAGCTGGCCCGCCAAGCCTTCTCTCGCCCTCCCAGTGGCAGTGGCGAGGCAGTTCTCAGAGCATTCTCTGTGTATGTGCAGGGAATGCTCTTTTACTTTTGGAGGGATTTAAGTATCCCCCCCCCCATAGTTTTTTATAGATTTCAGATTTTTCTGCACATCTGGGGATTGCCCCAAATGTGCAGGAAAATCCCTTTGCCCCCTAGGTGCCCCCGATGTGCGGATTTAGATATCCGCACGCAAGGGGGCACCTTTGCTATTAGTATATAGACAAGAAGTGGGACCCGTGATACTTGTGGGGGGGAGTTTTCCTAAAGGCTCCTAATCTGCAGAAGCAGCTCCACAGGTAAGCCTTCTTCCCCCCCCCCGGCCCCCTGACTCCCCC